AAAGAGCATAAAATAAAACGTATCCCAATAAATTTTTAAAATCGTACATCATATAGGTTTTAATCTGATTTAAACGTAGTCCGATTTCGGCAATATCCTACTTTAACAGGATGTAAAATTTGTAATACAATCTTATGGCATGCGTCTTACAGTCTCGTGAACAATGTTGTAACCGTGGGAAAGACTTGGCAAACATGAGGTCAAATTAGCTCAGGGTTACAAGCATAAGTTATGCAGAATGGATTTTCATTAGGGAATTCTGAATTAATGACAATGGGTTATCAAAAAATGTATTATTTATCTATTTAGTTATTTGGTCAGAGCAAAAAAGAATAATCGTTCTTTATTAGTTTAGTCGTTGTATTTATACTTTTCAAATTCTAGTGGTCTTAGTTGGGTCTCAAACTGATATCGGTGTTCCTGGACCAAGATCTATGATCTCAGACCAATATCGGTGGTCCTGGACCAAAATCTATAGTCTCGAACCAAGATTCGTGGTCTCAAACCAAGCACAGCAATACTATATTAATAGCACTGACAAATATAGTAAAGAATGCTAATACAATATAGAAAATATAACGAAGAAAATTTAAGCACAAAAATTTTCGTAACAGTATCTAGTATTTTCATGCATGTTATTGGATCTTTTCTAATACAAAAAATTTCACTCGTTTATGAAGATGAGGATGAGTAAAGCTGATGTATCACTTATCAGAAGTAACTCAACATGTGGAAAATAGCTAGATGTTTACATTAGGAAAATAAAATAACATAAAGCACGCACCGGCGTCCAAGGACTCCCGGGTTAAAATAAAAATATAATAACTATGTGGATTCGTGTTAATCACTGATTTATTCACGGCGTGTGCTATGTTATAACAAGACTTCGTATAAGCCTTATTTACATAATGGAAATAAGACTAGCATTTCCATGCTCTTGTAAATGATAATTGTAAGATTATATGACGTTATAACTTACGTATGTTGTAACAGTGGTAATTGGCTCAGAACTGGTGATTGTCGATATGGGACACACTTGTAACTAAACGTGCCATAGAAACCATTTCGGCATTGTTCTTAAAACAAAGCTGCTGAGAGTATTTAAACAGTTTCATATCAAAAATCAATGCCAAAATAGTTTCTACGACATGTATACTTGTAACAACCAACAATCAATGTAGACTAACTAAAATGCTACTTTAAACCTAAACTCCAACAATAGAAGGCTTCAATCGAAACTTTGTCTGAATAATAATTAGGGTTATGAAACTTAAGCTCTCGATTATGTCACGTGTCTCTAATTCGGAATCACGATACTGGTTATTAATTCTATTTTACCAGGTGTTAGAGCGGAGCACTTATTAACTAGGTTATCAAAACCATTATACTAAAGAATAAATACATTAACTATATATTAAAATTGAAATTTGCTATTTACTGCAAGTGGTATTTAAACCAATGAACTAATTATGATTTTGATAATCTGTTAAAAACACAAACCGTTTTTCGATTTCTCTTAATCGCTTTTCCTTATAAATGGTATACCCAAGTAATACTGATGCATATAATACTACCAATAATAGATACAACAATAATTATATTTGGGTTTGAAATCGGATTCTGAATATTCGTACTTTGGTTTTGAGTTGGAAGAGGTGTCGGAGGAGGAGTGAATGAATCAACCCATCTATACTGTCTATTTGATATATTGAGGATTCTTACTGTGGTATCCATAAGATTACAAGTGTTATTGAAAGAGTATTCACCTAGGTATAGTAAATTCAGAAATCCGATAAATCTATAGTCAAATATTAGAGAAATAAACTAGTTCATAATATTTACCGAATGCAGAAATTATAATATCAAAATATAGTGTAGCTTTGTGGCCGCTTGAAAGTAAAGGTGGTGCGCTTCCAGTCGGAGATATAACTGTCCACACATAGCCTGCAGTATTCAGAACTGCTAGACCAGAATAATTGGTTTGATTACTACCCCCATATATGATATATTCTGATTATCAGGTAATAAGTTGCTGACTGATAACCTATTGGAGGAATAAAACCTTCCTTTGTCGCTGTCTGCATTTTGTTAGAAATTAAGTATTTTAAGAGAACGCGTAAAAATGAACAAAAATAAATTATGCACTATATTTATCCATTGATTGGTTTTCGTATCATATACATCAAGCTTTAAAATATAGCAAATGAAAATATTTCAATTAGAAAATTATTTACTCTTTCGCGACAAATAATCTATGATTTGCTAACTTGGTTTAGTTAATCAAAATGACAGAATATTTACACTCGCACTATAATATCATTTTTTACCTGCCCTACGTCTGAACTAAAGGCTCCACCAATCATAATTATCCGTCTATCAGGCAATAAAGTCGCTGTATGAAATTGACGGCCTATAGGTTGATTGGGAGTAGGATTTGAAGTCCAGATGGATTGTTCAATATCATATATGTACATAGTTCCATCACTTTGAGTGTTAATAGCTCTTAAATATATGAGTTAGTATTATAGAATGATTTTATATGATAAGCTTGTAAAAGTCGGAGTACTTGGTTTACAAATTTGTAATAGTTATACACATAGAACCCAGTGTATGACTATTTATACCTTGCAATCTTGATATATTGACCAGTGTATAAAAACAGAATTATTTTCTGGACAGTAACTTTTATCATATACTCATTTCCACTATGCGTACATCTATTTAATTCAGTTGATTGAGTATAACTTTTTCATAAAGTTTTTTTAGACAAACCTTAGTTCTCTGGCTTATACAGGGCATGTATGAAACTATTATATAAATATTTAAATACCCGCTGGACAATACTTTCTCTCCCCCCCAAACATACATTTTCTTATTCGTATGATCAACCACAGAAGTATGCTATTTTCTCGAAGAAGGTGTTGAATTCGTATCTTGAATATAATTTATTACCGGATCCGTTGAAAGTGATTGAATTATATAAAGTTCACCAGGAGGTGGGTCATCAGAATTACCATAACCACTAAAAAGATATATATTATTTGTATCAGAGTTGGCACTAGCACCACCTCTATAATCTAAATATTTTATGTATTGATATGGAGGTGAAAAACTATAAAATGGCTGCGTTAAGTCAATATAAAAAAAATAATTCATTGTGCCGATAGCTCCAAATCCACTATAATAATAGACCTTATCAGATATAATATCGGACATGAGTTCTGTTCTTGGTGGTGGACTGTAAGGAATCATATTTTTTGCGCATTCAAAGTTAGAGATTAGAAAAATAGATATCAAAAACAATGAAGTATACATCTCAAAAATAAAAATTGAAGTTATCGCCTTATTGAAAAAGCTAGCATGTTATTGTTACAACGGGTAAAATTTGTAATATGATATTATGTGATCATCTAGCTATTTTCGCATATATTACTGTATTATTTGAGCATTTTTAATATGAAAATTTCACTCACCTATGGAGATTAGAAATGACTTAACAAGGTGCAGGAATGAATAGATGCTTACATTAGAAAATATAATTGATATTATACCCTGCGATCTTTATATAGTGACAGGGTATTTAAAAAACCATGTTACTTTATTAGATTTGAATCCGAAAATGTGTACCAAGTAGGTGCGCCACAGTGGCTATAAAGTACTTGATTCTTTGAATATCAGAATTTCAAATTTATAACTTTAAATGAAAATTTTTTATGTATTACAAAAATTCAATTTAATATTGTTTATAAATTTTTTTTTTATTTTAATTTGTTTTTTTTTTAATATTTCACTTTTGCTGCACTAACGAAAGTTAAAACTCTAACTCTTATTTTACTTCGAACTATCACCATAGCATTATTGGATTGAAATAGAAAAATTAACAACTTATCTATTAACTATGATGAAATGAAAAATCGTATCTTATAAACTTTTCAAAATGTTTAATAATAGCTAGCAACTAAACATATAATGAATTAATTTCACCTATACACGTCGTATCTTCTGCGACGAATTAAATTAACCTATACACGCACGCATGTACCGCAAAGAATTTATTTATTTGTTTCACAAATGCCAAGACAATATTATTTCACAAAATGCCAAGATAATATTGTATTCTGAATTTATTACCTATTCAACCACTATGGCGTACAAACCTGGTCTGGATGCGTTGAATTCATGTTATTTCTCTAAAAATATTATAGAACAAGTTAATAAAGCGTACATTTTGGGTTTAATTATTTATTTTTATGTTTTTGTAAATCTGTAAATCACCTTATTATTAACTAATGCTAAAATTTAAACATCAGGAATATTTTTTGTATACAGTGTTAGAGGTAAAAAGAAAACGTGATTTAAGGATCGTGACCTAGAACCCGTGATCCCACGAAAAGATCGATAACCACGATTCGATCGACACATATAATCGTACCCGATCAAGAATGCATGAAACATGCATTAGGCGCCTAAAATACAAACAATTGAATGGTGAAGCT